GTAAAATACCCTGAGATAACCTGGTATTAGAAATGGTGGCCTCACAGTTTAGTGTAACATACCCTGAGATATCCGGGTATTAGAAATGGTGGCATCACAGTTTAGAGTAAAATACCCTGAGATAACCAGGTATTAGAAATGGTGGCATCACAGTTTAATGTAACATACCCCGAGATAACCGTGTATTAGAAATGGTGGCATCACAGTTTAATGTAACATACCCCGAGATAACCGTGTATTAGAAATGGTGGCATCACAGTTTAGAGTAAAATACCCTGAGATAACCAGGTATTAGAAATTGTGGGATCACAGTTTAGTGTAACATACCCTGAGATAACCTTGTATTAGAAATGGTGGCATCACAGTTTAGAGTAAAATACCCTGAGATAACCAGGTATTAGAACTGGTGGCATCACAGTTTAGTGTAAAATACCCTGAAATAACCAGGTATTAGAAATGGTGGCATCACAGTTTAGTGTCACATACCCTGAGATAACTGGGTATTAGAAATGGTGGCATCCCAGTTTAGTGTAAAATACCCTGAGATAACCAGGTATTAGAACTGGTGGCATCACAGTTTAGTGTAAAATACCCTGAAATAACCAGGTATTAGAAATGGTGGCATCACAGTTTAATGTAACATACCCCGAGATAACCGTGTATTAGAAATGGTGGCATCACAGTTTAATGTAACATACCCCGAGATAACCGTGTATTAGAAATGGTGGCATCACAGTTTAATGTAACATACCCCGAGATAACCGTGTATTAGAAATGGTGGCATCACAGTTTAGAGTAAAATACCCTGAGATAACCAGGTATTAGAAATGGTGGCATCACAGTTTAGTGTAACATACCCTGAGATAATTGGGTATTAGAAATGGTGGCATCACAGTTTAGTATAACATACCCCGAGATAACCGGGTATTAGAAATGGTGGCATCACAATTTAGTGTAACATACCCCGAGATAACCTGGTATTAGAAATGGTGGCATCACAGTTTAATGTAACATACCCCGAGATAACCGTGTATTAGAAATGGTGGCATCACAGTTTAGTGTAACATACCCTGAGATAACCTGGTATTAGAAATTGTGGTATCACAGTTTAGTGTAACATACCCTGAGATAACCTGGTATTAGAAATGGTGGTATCACAGTTTAGTGTAACATACCCTGAGATAACCAGGTATTAGAAATTGTGGGATCACAGTTTAGTGTAAAACTTTAAAGTTTAATAGAAATGTTGATATTTACTACTAGTGTAACTCTCCCTGAGTTTACTACATACATTAGATGACATCACAGCTAAGTACAACATGACATCACAGCTAAGTACAACATGACATCACAGCTAAGTACAACATGACATCACAGTTACACTTAAAAGTCCACCAGTCTTAAACAATATCCCCGAAACAAGAATATGACGGTGTACGGGGAGATGCCTGTAAGAAGCTATATTTATGTATAAAGTATGTACATTTGTATTTACGTGTCAGGATTGCTTCAATCTAGCTTCAATTAAAATAATGATGTATGTTGGTGGTTTTGAGTGCTGTTGGCCTGCATTGTCGTGTCAAATTATCTGATTTATAAGATAATGCCACAAAATTCTGCTAGAAACAGGAAAATAGTGTCACTTTTGTACATGGTAGGGATGGTTGGGCCTGAGGGGGGACTGTGGTACTGATGTGATGCTCAGTCTAGTGCATGATAGGACCAACTTGACAACTGTAATTTGATTAGAATTGTAGACCCCTGTGGTGAGATAAAAACAGGACAGAATTGGCTTGTTGATCGATACTGTAAAGTAGCACATCTGAAAGATTGCAGTCAATTTACTGGTGTCCCAGTAAGTGTATATCTCCATACAGTGTGAGGCAGCCAATTAATTTACTTGAGTCCAGGTGAGTGTCTACTGGTCCGCTTTCGTGTATTGCAATACAAAAGGTTGAACCAGTTGGACCATAGTTGTTCGTTTATGAAATTAGGTTGGACCTAGTAATCTGAAGCTGTCTTCAGAAGAGCCTTGACAAAGCTTAAGCCTTGCAAGGCCTTCGTAAACTTTTGCAGGTTCGCCAGGATCTATACCCAAAAATGTAACGTTTAAGAACAGACAAACTGGTTGTTCCGTATAAACGAACAGGCCCCTGGCCCCAGGATGAAACAATCTAAGACTTAAGTTTTTGCTTAGCCAATCACGTATGACAACACTTTTTATGATGTGATTTGTGATTGGCTAAGTCAAAACTTTAGACAATTTTAGACTTCAGTTCATTTCATGATCTCGGGGCATGGTGTCTCTGTGTTTCCATTCCTGGTGAGGCGATAGATATCTCTGTCTGTATCTACATACACTAGTACAGAGCCAGATGGTCTGAATTTACTGATGTCCCTGTATATATACTGACTCCACACAGAAAGAAAATATCATGGGACTTTTTCCGCATTCTTACGAGAGATGTTGCCTGTATCTCATGTGTTAATACATTTATATTGCCTTCAGTGTTCTCCACAAGGCCAGGCTATTGTATATTGTAACACTATCTGTGCCATTATGGTGTTATTATTGTTCTGTCGTCTACAATCAAACTTGTGTCTCTCATACCGGACAGTTTGCCCTGAAGATACTAGATAAACGCCGCAGTTCATCATTGGTTCAGTCAGGCAATGTGCATGTAACTTACAAATGATAAATGAAGATTGGAAAGCATGTCTCTTCAAATTCAGGAATTTTTTATTTTTATTTTTATTTTCGAAAAAGTGTTCTTAATGAAAAGGAAAGTTTGCCATCAACCTCGAACCTTGTAGCGGTTATTGCCTGGTTTAGATTTCCATGTACAGTAATTTCTCTGTTGGTTATTGTACTGATATTAGGTTATTGTTGTTGGAACACTGAAAAGAGGTTTTAAATAAATGCATAGTTTGATAGGTTTGTTATTACCAATTGTTTGTGCCATGTGTCTGATCGTTATTAGCCAACATTCTCCATTGTAACGGGTCCCCAGGCATTGGACTGCTGAAGACAAACTACCGGAGTCTTGTGTTATATTTTCCTTTTAAAAAATCCTCATTAGCTCTGACGGTACCCTCTGGAGTGTTTTATGATGCTCAGAAAGTCATAAATTTGTTTTTCAAGATTCACAAAGCAATCTCCTTCACTTAGTGGAATTAAAGTTGTGAATATTGGAAATCTAGGCTCGGAAACTTGCTGCAATGATCAATGTTGATTTCAGAATTTTGACAGATGCATTAAAGGAGAAATAATGGATCTGTTGTATAGTGTAGGTTATACACCAATAACATCACATCATTCCTGATTTATCGTACGAGGGTCTGGGTTCAGTGACTCATTGTGCACTTTGAAATTCACTTTAACTCGCATTTTCATTGTAATATGTATTATGTAGCAAATAGTTAAGTTAATTCATTCACCCCTGAAGACATATTTGAACTCTTCCAACTCAATAGTTGGAATAGTTCATTATGAAATTTCAGGGATGAATGAGTTAGTGGTTACCATCAGCAATGACCAGGATATTAATCAAGGCCCTGCATCCTTTTCTACTTGAAATGTCAATGTGTTTAACACATAGGTACAAAATTCAACGTCTGATGATGACCGACAGATTACTACAGCATGTAACGTCACGCTAGCCATATTGGTACACGGTCCGAAAATGGTTCCACTAGTATTTTAGAATTAAATTTGAGCATTTTCCTCTGACAGTATGACGAGAGAGATATTTATCAACATTTCCACCAAATAGTTTGTTTTCAGTGACATTTCAAAAAGTACACGATGACTTCAAAGTAAACATATCAGAAAACCAGTAAATATGACGTACTTCGACGAAATTTTAGAGGATTTTGAAGGGGTTAATTATAAGCATGTTTAAATGTTGATTGCTGGTCCTTAAAACCATATAACATAAAAGTGTATCTATACAATTGTAGTTCGGTATGGTATTCATAAAAGCAAACTATTTTGTTGCAATCAGCACATCAACTAGTAGACATATAGACTTTCACAGCCTGTGATATGTTGTACCAATTCGGGTACTACCGGTAATCATGGCCGAAAGACGGACGAAATCTCACTGCGAGTTTAGTGTTCCATTTTAGAAAATGACCTACCATGGGTTATCTTTGTCAAGAATCAAGAAACAATCCAGATACAAGATCCAAATTTTTAAATATCGCTGAAAAACTATCAAAATTGTACCAATTTTGGAAGCGTGGTGTTACAAGTCCTTAAAATCAGGAACTTCAATCCATATAGCAAATAACCAACAACTGAAAATATTGGTTTAACTCAGTCCTAAAGTTTGGTTACAGGTATATTAATTCAAAAACATCTTTGAAACCAGTTTCATTTATTTAATTAAATAGCTTTCTTGACTTAAACAAAATCAATGAATCCTCTTCTGACTGATAGGAACTTACTTATTGGTGTATATATATATATACATGATGGAATGGTACCAAAGTTGCAGAAACAGCTTTGGCATTAGCTAGGAGATGCTTGGGGGATGGAGATTAATGTAAAGTCTACCAGCACACAGCTTTGGAACTGTTGAATATATTTTGTCACTTTTGCACTGAAAACACACATAGTCATGCAGTATTTTTTTTTTTGATTACTTTTGGAAACTCTTGTTTTGAAAGAAATTCTTTATGCAGTTTTCTAGATTATGATTACCTTTGATAAGCAAAGTTTCTGCTGAAAATTTAAACATTATCAATATATAAAAACGAAGTCTTCACAGCAGTTTTGACTTCATGATTATAATAAAAAAAATCACAACTGTATATAAATTACAACTTTGAGAATTACGAAAATTCTGCTTTAGTAATTTACGCTAGCATTTTCAAGTACTTTGCAACAGGAAAGCACACACAGTGTTATAAAAGGAACAGATCCCAATCAGCTGTAGTTGTTAACAGTAATTGTGTACTTGTACCTGTTTCTATTTCATTTAACTTTTCTTTTCCAGAGTAAATACGTAGCAGAATGTTTGGAGGAGATCAAGCAAGAGTTGAGGACGGAGAACATGGCAGTGAAAGCCAATGCTGTCAACAAACTGACCTATGTAAGTATGCATGGTGTAATTCACTCTAAATTCAGTGACCAGTATGGAGGGGGAGGGGGAGGGGGGGNCATATTTTTTGGCGGTGTACAGTCTTTCATAGTTTTACCCATAGACTTTGTAATATCAAGATACAAATTTTGGAATCAACTGTCAGTATTTGAGGAATATTCCCACAGTGGATATATATTGTTGTGTTAGTTGACATTTTCTTTACACTGCTGACATTAACATGTAGGACAGGGATACAACCTGCTCTCCCAGTGATGTCTACGTTTAATCAGTGATGCTTATTCACAGCTCTGTGTTACGTCATGGTAAATTAATCGTGATGCCCGAGGACTGTTCGCCAGTGATGAGGTCTGAGAAAACATGTTATCCTGAACGTATTTGTAGATATGGACGGTCGACTGGTATAAAGGATTGAATTCACTCTATTCAATTCACTAGCGCCCTGATTTCATTAAAGTAGGAAGTTCTTTTGTGTTGCAGTATCATCACATCAACCAACAGTTCTATTTCTTCAATTATTTTCAGTTGTTAAAGCAGATATTTTCTGTAAATTGGGAATTTAGACTTTAAAATGTTCAATAACTTACAGTGTTTGGTTTGGTTTGGTTTAGTAACGTCCTATTAAAAGCTGTGGTCATTAAAGGAAGGCCTCCCCTGTGTGCAAGATGCATGCATGTGTGTTTTGGGAGGTTGTGATATGTTCGTGTTTGTTTCCTTGCGATAGCGCGGAACTGATGTCGACTTTATAGTGCTACCTCACTGAAACATACAGCTGAAGACACCCAGCAGGACACTCCATCCGGACACATTATACTGACAACAGGCGAACCAGTCGTCTCACTACTAAATTGCTGATCGTTAAGCAGGAGTAGAAACTAACAATGGTGAAATGTAACTTCTTTTGTGACGTGTAAGATTTCTTAATCACCTGCACACAACTTCTTCACCGCATTTGATATTTGCTGGAAAAAATGTACAGTGATCTGTAGAAAGTATAGGTGAACACCATTATTTGATCATAAAAATACATCAAAACATATCATTCAATTATAACTCATCTGAATTCATCGGTATTCAAATGTATCAGAATCAGAACCACAACAAAGAAAACTATCATTCTGTTACAGAAATCTTCAAAATATAAACCATAGGTATTATAACACAAAAATAACATCGGATAACATGTTCTCAGAGTTCAAAATTGACCTGATGCAGATAAAATAAGGCTCTGAGTGTCCAACCTTGGTGTACTTGAATAATATGAATAATTCCCAACATAATTGTAAACTTTTCATGATCTTTTCAAATGCAGATTGTATATGGTGCTTATTCCATAATCAAATGTATACATATTGATTTTCAACAGAACAGTAATTTTTTGTCGACAATCTACTTCTGACTTCCCCTACAGATGTAACCAAACAATATCGGCGAGGGCAATCAAGTGATGGTTTGAATATGTACATAAATATTGATTCTACTCAGGGGTGCTTGCATGCCACTCCAGTGACGGTTGGAGCTGGTTGTTGATACTGAGAGGCTTTTTTTCAACTGACCTTTGACCTGTCACTGTACATATGCAATAGATATTGTGTCAAGTACCAGACTCTTTTCGATAAATAAATATTTGGAACATTGCAATACCTGCTAACCTGCTAATCTTCCTTTCTGTATGCAAGCGAGAAATATTTAAAAAAAACACCAAAAAAAACATCCTAGTACCTGATAACCTTCCTCTTTCAGTTTAAGAGAGAATTATTTTCCATTAAGTATTTCCAGAGCTAATAAACTTCCGTGCTCTGTGTAAGGATATTGCTTCCATAAAACACCACTGTACCCAACATAGTGCCATGAAACTTTCTTCGTACCTGAAAACCTTCCTTGGTTTGTTTGTAAATAAGAAATATCATTATCAAGAAACTTTTCGGAACTGTGCTAGCCTCCAGGGTAATGTTGTACTGTGGAGGAATACATGTATAACTGTGAAATATCCTAGAAATTGACAGCCTTCCCTTATCTACATGCTAAAGTGAAGTACAACCAGGAAATATTCCTTTCTGACATTTTGTCTTTGATGTTGTATACGTATCTACCATCTGCTCCAATTTCCACCACATTTAACATTTTTAAAACATGTTGCAAATATTTGTGTCCAAAACGTGATCCCTCAGTACAAGTGTACTGTTAGTACAGGTTTAGTTTATTACATTGGGGAAAAGTGATATTAGTCTTTTATCACAGGTGGGATCTTCAAAGAGGTGGTCAGATGAGCAGGTTTGACTGAATGTGAGGCATGTTACGCTAACTGTAATATACGAACACTGTATATAACATTAATGTTTTTGTGTCCGTATGAATTATGTAACCCAGAGGTTTCATTCTCATATATGTATATCATTGTTGTATTTTCTGTATATATGAGGCCTGTACCTTGAGTGCTAGTGGCTCACAATCGACCACTGGCCCAAAGTCTCCATAATGTACTGTACTAAGTCCCAATGTACTGTACTAAGTCCCAATGTTCTGTCCTAAGTCCCAATGTTCTGTACTAAGTCCCAATGTACTGTACTAAGTCCCAATGTTCTGTGTCCACAGCTCCAGATGTGCGGTTACGACATCAGCTGGTCAGCCTTCAATGTCATTGAGGTGATGAGTTCCACCAAGTTCACATTCAAGGTAAGTGTGTGTTAACGACAGGTAGCCAAGGATTGACACTACTTCACAACTGTTCAGGGCTGAGCTGGGACCCAATGACAATGTTAGAGGTCCATAAATACAAAATGTACTAGTGTTTAGACATAGGAAATAAAGAAAATCAATAAATATAGCTAAAATGTAAGACTACTGTATTCCTGATATTAGCTAGACTGTAAGACTGCTGTATTCTATACATGGCCGGTAAGATCTACTAGTACTGTATCCAGCCCATCATCTAGACAAACAGTGATTTTTATACGCCCGTCGAAGACGGGGACGTATTATGTTATCACGTGAGCGGGCGGGCG